TTTCATCACCATGCTAGGTAATATCATCAGTGCAGCTTCCAATGAAGCCATGGTGTTCTAGTCCGCTTGGAATTTATATGATCCAGTCTGTTAAGTTGGATTGTCATTCCCGATTCTGTTCTCCATGGGTTTGTATATGGGGTCTGATTCCACATGTTTAATGATTGCATTATGGATGGAGAACCAGGCCTCTAGGAATTCCCGTGCGTCTCTGTGGTTGGTTTGAGCTAGGATGGTCACATTGTCCCAGTTAAATTGATGGCCTTCATTATCCAAGCACACTGACATGAGGGAAAGATCGTTGTGTTGTTTTTTTAGCTAGTTGATATTGTGTATCCTGATGGATCGTTTCCTTCTGGTCTGGCCGATGTAATGTTTGTTGCAGTCATTGCAAGGTATTTTATAAATTATACTGATCCTGCATGTCATGGGTGTGGGGTCTTTGGTCCTTGTATGTGTTTGTCGTAGTGTGGCAGTGGGTTTGTGTGCTACCATGATTCCTAGTGGTTGTAGGAGTCTCATTGTCAGTTCTGATATGTTATTGATATACGGTAGTGTGGCCAGTGTATTGGGGCATACTGTGTGCTCTTGGCGTTGTCTATCTAGTTGGCACCTGTGGGTGAAGTTGTTGGGATATCCATTGTTAGCAAATACCTTGTATAGGTGCTCTTCCTCCTCCTTGCGAAGTCCAGGTGGGTTGTGGCCAGTTTGAATAGTGTCCTAACACAGCTTTGTTTGTGGACATTGGGGTGATTGCTGTGGAATTGAGGATTTGGTCAGTGTGAGTTGCCTTCCCATATACTGTGGTTTGCAACTCCCCGTTGGTCATTCGTTCTACACTGATGTCTAGGAAATGAAGAGGAGGAACACAACAATCAACCCCCTTGCTGCTGTCTTAACAACATTGTGTATTTATAATAAACTGTTAATTCTTTTGGCTAATCTATAAACCTGGTGTCTAGCATTGGTTATTCAAAAAGACTGGTTAGAAACCACTGTCAGTTTTGAGGGTTATTGAATATTTTAAGTTTGTGATGTTGCAAATACAGGGATAGGGAGACTAATTTGATTTGGCTGACTGTTTTCTTATCATAACACTGTTTTTAACTTAATTTTGTTCTGATCCTCCTGAATCTGAACTTACTCAGTTTACCAAAGACAGACTCATAAACCTCACCACAGTCCTCTATCACCCTCAGTAAATCTCTTGCTCCATCTGCCCCAATTTTAGCAGTCAAATTCACTATGAAGTGTTCTTTAGCACGTGCCAATGCCATTGTAGCTTCTGGTTTTACTTGAGGACCACTCTACCAGCGTGTAACTACAATATAAATCAGTTTCTTCTCAAGTTTCAAGGTAATTAAAGCTTGACTTGACTTCTGTGGCATCTGCATCTGACAGTAAGTTTCGCAGCTTGAGATTTCAGACCACTGTTCTCTAAGATGCAGTTGACCATTCATAAGGAATTTTCAGATAGTTTATTTAAGCTCATCACTAAGCGGCAGTTGGGGTATGATATGGTAGGGAAATAGAGAGGAAATGTATAAAATCTGGCCTTAAGAATTGTTCTCTAATGCCTGAGGATGAAAAGGCACTGGCACTATGTATCAATTCATTATAGTTATACGTATAGCAAGGTCTTTCCTTTTATTTAAATCCTGTAGTTACTAGAGGGCTAGTAATGGCAGTTAGTGGTGGTCTGCATCTCCTGAGAGATGTGGGAGATCAGGGAGCAGTCTACTGTCCCTGGCAATGATGTCTGCAAGAAGTGTGTCCACCTTTAGCTCCTGTCAGACCACATGGATTGATTGGAGCAGCAGTTGGATTCACTAAGGCGCATATGGGAAGCAGAAAGCTTTATGGATAGGAGTCAGGGAGGCAATGGCCTAGTGGTATTATTGCTAGACTATTAATCAAAGACTCAGCAAATGTTTTGGTGACATTACAGAATATTGAATGGCCTGGACAGAGTGAATGTTGGGAAGATGCTTCCATTGGTAGGAGAGACTAAGACCCGAGGGCACAACCTTAGAGTAAAGGGAAGACTTTTTAGAACGGAGATAAGGAGAAACTTCTTCAGCCAGAGAGTGGTGAATCTATGGAATTCACTGCCACAGAAGGCTGTGGAGGCCAGGTCATTGAGTACATTTAAGACTGAGATAGATAGGCCCTTGATTACCAAGGGAATCGAAGGTTACAGGGAGAAAGCGGGAGAATGGGATTGAGGAACTTGTCAGCTATGATTGAATGGCAGAGTAGACTTGATGGGCTGAATGGCCTAATTTCTGCTCCTGTGTCTTATGGACTCCAGTTCGGATCTTTCTATTGCAGATAAATGAATCTGAATTTAATAAAGAATCTGGAATTAAGAGCCTAATGATGACCCTGAATCCATTGTCAATTGTCAGGAAAAACCCATCGGGTTCACTAATGTCCTTTGGGGAAGGAAACTGCCATCCTTACTTGGCCTGACATACATATGACTTCCAACCCACAGCATTGCCCTCTTGGCATTTAGGGATGGGCAATAAATGGCCCAGCCCAGAAATGCCCACGTATTGTGAATAAATAAAAAGAAAGTTTCAGGGATGTGGTCACACCAAAAGTTCAAGCAGATACATGGGTGTCTGCCAGCAAGAGCAGGTAGTTTAGGAATCCCCTGTGGCCATTCTGTGCCCCCCCCATAGGTATACAGTTTTAGATATGTTTGGGGGGGGGCGCGGTCATGGCCTCGAAGGGAAAAGCACCAGCAGCAGCCAGATCAGTAGCACCATGATTGGCTCTGTTAAACAACAGGGAGGGTCAAAGTGTATGTGAGCAGTGCTGGTTTTGGCGGGGTGGGGTGGAGAAGGGTGGGTGTTGTTGGCGGCGTGTGGCCGGGGAAGGGTGGGTGT